AGAAGTGGAGCCCCCAGCTCTTCTCTTCTGTGACCTACCCACACACACTGATAAAGTTAATTATCTGCCCTGGCTAAATGACTTTCCCTAGCAACACCCTAGCAACTAACATCAGTTCTGCCTTAGGCTACAAAACTGGAAAGAGATTTCTTGAAGTCCAGTGTATTTTACAACAGAACGAAACATCTGAACAGGAAATTAAACAGAAAGTAAACTGGATTCATTGCTAGGAGATGAGACATAGACATACGAGACAATTCACAACAATCTACTGAACACAATAGTCAAAATAAGAAACTTTCTTCTCACAAGTTCTACTGAAGTCTGGAGGAGAGACTGCGAGACTTCATCCCGTGGAGGAGAAGAGAATTTCAATGGGCAGAAGAAGGGAAGACATCCTAGGTGATGGGAAAGCGATAAACAAACTTTGCCAATTTTGAAAGTGGGGAATACAGGGGATCCAGCTGGGGAGCACTGAGAGCTCAGTCTGGAATCTATGACCAGATCGTGGAGGGCCTCGAAGTTCACTTGAAGAACTTGGGCTGCATCAGAGGGTCCTGGGAGGCTGTTATTCACAGAAAAAATACTTATGGAGCCAGGCACCATGATGTGCATGGAGGACACAGTAGTGAGCCCCAGAGACAGTCCCTGCCCTTATGGATACTGGAATCTAGTGATGGAGACAGACAGTGAACAAACACCAAATGTAAAAGTCAAACATAAAAGTGACCATATGATTATAACTCAACACTTCCCTGGTTGGTGGCTGGTAAAGAATCTGCCTGCAATGTGGGAGACCTAGGTTCTATCCCTGGGTTGGGAAGATCCCCTGGAGAAGGGAAGATAATTATAAATCGTGAGAATATTAAGAGAAAGATATCAAGTTCCAGGAGAGCATATAAAGAGGGGCAGGACCTATTCAGGGAAATCTGGAAGGACTTCTCTGGGGAAGCAGTTTTGCACTGAGATCTGAAGGATGCGTAGAAGTTGGTCGGGAGAGGATGGTGGGTGGGAGAGACGAAAGCACTGGATTCTAGGCAGAACCACACAGACAAAAGTTCATAAAACTGAAAGCCATGGTGGCCAGAGATCATGAGAGCAGGGGCACACGGCCTTGAGAGGCAGATCAGGCAGGGCCTCAGAGGCCACATTCAAGATTCTTTGTTTTGAGAGCCCCAAAAAGCCAGTGGAAAAGGATTTTAACTGAGGGATTGACATTCTAGCCTGCATTTTAATAAGGATCACTCAGACTTCAGTTCAGAAGATGGACTGGAGGAGAGAAACAGTAGACATGGGCAGCCCAATTAGGAGGCTGAGCGATGATGACAACTCAGACGGGTGTGGTGCCAGAGGAGATGGCAAAAAATGGACACATCTTAGAGGGAATTGGAAACCAGTGACTTGCTGATGGATTGAATCTGTGCAGAGATTCTGCACATGGTGGTCTGACTGGACAGTAGAGCCAGGTTAGGGAAGTTTAGCTTCAGTAGAGGAACTGCAGCTCCATGGGCTGCTCAGAGCCCGCTGTCATAGCCCCAGTGCTGGGGTCACCACTGTGTAGAGGAAAGGACCCCATTGTTTTGAATCCTGGTTCTTTTCTTCCTTATTAGCCATGGTACCCAGACAGTAAGGGGCTTCCCCGATAGCTCAGTTGGTAAAGAGTCTGCCTGCAATGCTGGAGACCCCGGTTCAATTCCTGGGTTGGGAAGATCTGCTGGAGCAGGCAATGGCAACCCACTCCAGTATGTTTGCCTGGGAAATCCCATGGACAGAGGAGTCTGGAGGCTACAGTCCAAGGGGTTGCAAAAGAGTAAGACACCACCTAGTGACTACACAACAATCTGAAGAATAGCAGAGGGGATGGGGCCTCCTACCTCATGTGATTTTCCTGTCAATGTTGAATGAGAAGTTAAACTATTCTGTCCCTCCCTGCTCCATTTCCACCCACCTCCATGTTAGATTTGAATATGCTGATTTAGATGAAAAGACTTTCAAGAACACGTAATTGAGCTATGGGATGTAAAATAAGCTCCCCAAAGACAGGAGCCACATTTTATTTATTTTGGTAGTTTCCTGTCCTCTGAGATAAGATTGGGTACACTCTCCTGAACAACTTAGTTTGTAGTGGTTATATCACCATTATAATTGGAAAAGATTCCTGTAACTATGTATTTAAAATATCTGCCTCTCCTCTAGATTGTAAAATCCACAAAGGCAAGTAATTTATTTGTCATGTGTCCCAGTAGAGAGCACGTGGAGCACATTGGACATGAATGAATGAATGAATTTTTGTTCCCTTTGGAGTCCCCCACTTAGCACAGAGTTGGCCCCAAATCTGAACTCAAGGACAGCTTGCTGGGTGCACGGGACTGTGCACCGTGGAGTCTATGTGAAACCTGAGCCAGTCCAGCCTCAATGGAGATAATTCACTCAGGACACAGAAGTGAATTTGAATGTCAGCTCCATAAAGGAAGGCTGCTAGCTGGAGCAGGTACTGCTAAGGATCAAGGAGAGTCAGGCTGAGAAAAGAGCATAATTGGCGTCTGCCAAGGGACCTCTGAGAGAAGGTGCCCTCTTAACCATGGCGGGGAGCGTCCAGCACATGGACTGGGGGCAGGTGAAGAGGAATGGAGGCCTCCGATGCAGGTGGCTCCTCTGGGCTGTTTGTTAGTGATGTCAAAGAGAAAAACCTGACCTGGAAAGCAAAGAAGATTGCTTTTTAAATGTAGGCTCTTGAGGTGTGTTGACAGCCCAGGGGAAGGAGAGGGTGCTTAACCAAAGCTTCCGAGAGTGCTTCGGATGCTTGAGCACAGAGGGCAGGCAGAAGCATTACCGGCATCCCCAGACCAGACCTGATCTCTGTTAGTGTGACATCCAGGGCCAGACCCCCCTGTTAAGCCTGGGGGTGGATATCAGGCCCAGTATTTTGCATGCCTCATTTAACTCTTAGTTAAGTTCAGTTCAATCGCTCAGTCGTATTTGACTCTGCAACCCCATGACCACAGCACACCAGGCTTCCCTGTCCATCACCAACTCCCGGAACTTGCTCAAACTCATGTCCATTGAGTCGGTGATGCCATCCAACTTTCTCACCCTCTGTTGTCCCCTTCTCCTCCTACCTTGGGACTGGATGCCATGATCTTGATTTTCTGAATGATGAGACTATTAAATGTCATTTAACTCTAGCACCCTCTAGAGAAAGGCTATATTAGCCCACAGGCGTACATGCACCTTTTCTGAGCAGGAATCTGAAGCTTGGAGAGGTTAAATAACTTGCTGAAGTCTCACAGTGGGTGAGTGGCAGGACTAATTTTTTGTTTGCTTCCTTTTTTATTTTTAATTGGAAGATGATTGCTTTACAATATTGTATTGGTTTCTGCCATACATCAACATGAATCAGCTGTAGGTGTATATATATGTCCCCTCCTTCTTGAACCTCCTTCCCACCTCCCGCCCCATTCCACTCCTCGAGGCTGTCACAGCACCAGGTTGAACCCCCTGTGTAATTCAGCAGACTCCCGCTGGCTGTTTTACTTTTGGTGATGTGTATGCTTCAGTGTTACTCTCTCCATTCACCCCACTCTCTCCTTCCCCCAGTGGGTCCACAAGTCTATTCTCTATGTCCGTGCTTCCACTGCTGTCCTGAGAATAGGTTCATCAGTACCATTTTTCTAGATTCTTTATATATATATATGTGTTAATACATGATATTTGTTTTCTCTATCTGACTTACTTCACTCTGTATAATAGGCTCTAGGACTAACGTTTGATTCAGGTCTGTCCCCAGGGAAACACTGGGAGAGATTCTTGCACCTGGTTTTCTCTGTCTGGCTTTGGGGTTGGTGCCTGAGGCTCTGGCCAGTAAGCATTCAGGCTCAGCTCCTCTCCAAACATCTGTCACTGGGGACTGGGAACCTGAACTAAAGTCTAAGCCAAGAAAATACAAGCTTTTCTTTGAAACCTTCAAAATCTCTTTCCAGAGCTCTATGAGGACTCCCGTGGGCTCTAGGCACTTTTGTCTTTGCGGGCTTCTTCCTTCATAAAACAACAGTAAACATTATATTTTATGACTGTGTAAATCAAAATAAACATAAATTAGTACTATATAGTAAAATATTTTATTAGACCTAAATATTTTTTTTCTTTTGATTTTAAAGAGAACATTTTCAGGAATCGCCAAAAGTATTACAAAGCATAGCACTGTGCCTACGGGGGCCAATGGACGAATCATTCTTGCTCCTTTCCATCCATCAGTCTGACCTGTTCCAACACATGATAAGAAGGGCAATGAAGTCAGATAGCCATGGCATCTGACCCTGACTTAACTGGTCAAAAGCCTCAGTTTGCTCCTCTGTAAAATGAATGAAAGTAATGTCACATTTATTCTGTGCAGTGAGACTGGAGAAGGTGAGCAGATGTAAGTAAACCTCCCAGAATATGGCCAGGCACAGAGGTGAATGATAATCGCTAGTTGGGTCTGACTCTTTGCAACCCCAAGGACTGTAGCCTGCCAGGCTCCTCTGTCAATGTAATTCTCCTGGCAAGAATACAGGAGTGGATTGCCATTTCCTTTTACAGGAGATCTTCCCCACCCAGGGATCGAACACAGGTCTCCTGCGTTGCAGGCAGATTCTTTACCATCTGAGCCACCAGGGAGGCCTACTATTAAGAGATGTTTCTAAATATAAAGACAGGTCAACTTAAAAAGTATCAGCAGATACATGCTTGACTTTATCTTATGAGGTATAGACCGTACATTAGAATATGGCACAGAGTAGGTATGCAACAAAAGTTAGTTCTCAGTCTATCCCTCCTTGGAGCACCCGCCTCCACAGGGTCCAGGAGTTGGGGTGGCAGCCTCGTGGTGGGACAGAGCCCGCAGTGTCCCTGGACCCTATGATTTCCTCGTCAGACCCTGGGAATTCGGCGTCGCAAAATAAACACCACCGCGCAGCTAATCGCCAGCTCAGAAACAAAACAGCGCTGCGCTGGGGATCTGGGCAAAATCAGCCCTCCCTCCTCCTCCTCCTTCGCCGCCGCCCTCCCTTCCTCGCGCTGCTGGGCTTGCTCGGCTCTGCTCAGCGCAGCGCAGCTCGGCAGCCGCCTAGCCTAGGCAGCACGGTCTCCCGGTCGCCAGCACCAGCTCGGAGCTCCGCTGCCCGCCTGGGCTCTGCCAGGTCTCGTTTCCGCGGGGACCCCTTCGGGCAGGAGTCGTGTGGAGACAGCCAGCGGCCAGGGCACAAAGTTGGGGGCCCGCGAGGATGAGGCTGTCCCCGGTGCTCCTGAGGCTGAGCCGGGGTCCAGCGCTGCTGGCCCTGGCGCTGCCCCTGGCGGTGGCGCTGGCCTTCTCCGACGAGACCCTGGACAAAGTGCCCAAGTCGGAGGGCTACTGCAGCCGCATCCTGCGCGCCCAGGGCACGCGGCGCGAGGGCTACACCGAGTTCCGCCTCCGCGTGGAGGGCGACCCCGACTTCTATAAGCCGGGAACCAGCTACCGCGGTAAGTGGCCCCCCGTGGTGTTGGGGTCGCGGGACCGGGCCCCCGGAGGGCGCCGACCGCGCGGTGCCGGAGGAGGGCGCACAGTTCCCAGGCGCACGGTGCCAGCGCAGCCTGCCGAGGGCCCTTCTGTCCTGGATGCCCTATCCTTTTAGCTCCGAGCCAGTGTCCGGCGCCGTCGCGGGGCCGCAGCCAGGAGATGCAGCCCCCAAGTACGAAGAGCGGTTCCCGGGTGTGGGCGGGAGCTGAGCGACGCGTCACTCTGGCCTGGCTTCTACCCCGGCCGGTTCCAGGAGATTGGTGGAGACTCGCCTTTCTCCAGATCCGTCTCTGGGGTCGAGGGGACCCTGGCTGCTTTTAGTCGGGTCCTAGGCAGGGTGGTGACTCCAGCTTTCCCCACTCCCATCCCTGAAGGAGAGGAAATCAGCTTTTCACAGACCAGCCCCCAGTGGGACGGTCATTCCAGCTTCCCCGGACGGATCCCTACAAGAGAAGGGACTTGGGCTTCTCCCCTAACTGGTCCTAGGGCAGGGAGAGGAGAGGAGAAGAGCCTGAAGCTTTTCGGAAGGTTGCCTGGAAAGAACTCCAAATATTCTTTGATGGTCCCAGGCGAGGGAGAAGACCCTGGATTTCTAGGACAGGCTCCCAGTGGACTGAGAGCTCTAGGTAGTTTCAAACAGGGAGGGGAATCCAATCAAGACCGAAAGGGAAGCCCAGATTCCTGAGGCCTGCTCCCTGGAGGCCAGAGCGGCTCCCGCAACCCCGAGTCTCCGTACCCCCAGAAAAGCGGTCTCTAAGCTCCTCAGCTGACAGCCGGCTTTCGGGAGCGCAGAGAGGGGATGTCCAAAGCAAGTGAGCGCGTCCCGGGCCTCACAGGCAGCTCGACCAGCACAGACCTGAAGACCCCTGACGCCATGCCCAGAGCCCCCCTCTTAAGCCGGGTCAGCTCCCCATGCATCTTTTCGCTGCCGTTCTCCATCAGGAGCCAGGACACCAGGCAGGGAAGGAAGCCTGCCCAGCCTCACCCGGGGCCCCGCGGGCGGGGAGTGACAGGGCACGTGTCCCTTCACCCCGGGCCCTTTCATAAGTCAATTCTGGGGCTAAGCAAGGAAGAGAGGGGCTTCGGGGCACTCGTGGGGCAAACGGGCCCACAGCCACCGCCCTTCCATCCTCACTTTCCCCGTTTCTAAGCGTCGCGAGAGGAAGCTATGGGGGCAACATTGGAGAAAGTTTGGGGTAGTGCCAGCTGGAGCCCAGGTCACACAGGCGACCAGAACCAGGGACCACCCTTCCCAGAATGCTTCTCCCATTTTCCTGGGTTTGTGTTCCTGATTCTCTCCGCCTGGAGCTACCCAAAGCGCAGTCGGCTTGTGGACGCGCTCCATGCCTGGCGGGCAGTCCTTGCAAGCCCGCGCGGCTAGGCGGGGCCGGGGGTACTCTCCGCGGAAGGCTGGGGGTGGGGTGGAGAACACCCGGCCCGGCCCCCAGGGCGCTGGCAGCGGGTTGGCCCGGCAGCCCAGCAAGCCGAACCTACATGCGGTCGCAGCCTCTTCCCCCAAGTGGGGAAACAGCCAGTCCCCTCCGGGGACGGGAGGGAAGTGGGCGTAACCCCACTGGTCTCTTCAGCCCTCCCCCAAACCGAGGACCTGAGTTCCCTGGGAAAACTGCCCCAGCTCCACGTGGCAGCGAAAGAGGTGGCTCTGCAGTCCGTCCCCGGCTTAGTAGCTGTGTGACCTTGTGCAAGTCCTTTAATTTCTCGGATCCTATTTCCCAGTTATTGAAATCAGATGTTTGTCCAGCTACCCTGGGCGGTCTTAGAGAGTAAATGAGTGCATAAAGATGAGTGTGCCTGAGCTACAGTGGGTTCCCCGTATGTATTGGTTTGAGTTGTCTATGAGGCCCAAGCGGTTTAATAATTGAGGGATGTGTATGGTCAGGTTCAATTTTGTTTCTGCCACGTGTGCGTCTGTGTGTCTAAAAAAGTAGGTTTTCTCAGCACTCCTTCAAGCCAATCTACCAGTGGATGCCAGTTACCTGGTGCTCATGAAATAACTGAATGAATGAATGATTTCTCCATATTAGGAGGTTTGCTTAAGGCTATTCCTAGTTTAGGACCAGGAGAATTTCTTTTGGGGATAATCAAGGTTAGTCTGCAGCCCACGAGTCCTACTGGGTCTCTCTTCCCACATAAATCTTCCCAGTTTGGCTGAGCACTGGCAGTGAGGGATCCCAGCACTGAGATAGAGATGCATCTGGGATTCACATGAACAGACGGGTTCCATGACGGCCTCAGTATCCATGGGCAGCAGGTGAAAACTGGGATTAGACTTTCACCTTATAGGTTACGCCAGCCGACAGTGTTAGTCTTGAGCTGTGATGCCCGACTCAGGCTAGGTGGGCAATCATCTGACCTCTTTTCTGGTGGCTAAGAGATCTTGCAGGAACCAGGCTAATGCCTTCTGAGTCAGTAGTTTGGATTAGCAAACCTGATTCCGCCACTCAAAGTTAGGAAGAAAAAGGGCACTGGCCTGGTTTGTGACATTTTCTGTTTACTTTCTTAGAATAGTTGCATTAGAGGTAAATCTAATACATTCTGCTCAGGGTATTGACTTAGGGCTGTGGAAATTAACATTCCCCTGGTGTTCTGTTTGCTTTTTTATTTTTTTACTGAATTAGAGCCCCTCAATCTTTGGAATCAATGGCCTCAAACCTTTGTCCTCAGGATTCCAGTTCATCCCCATAGAGCTTCCAGTCTCCATGCCCCCACTCCCACCCTCCCATCTCATCATATCCTTTAGATATTCTAGACTGGAGTAAAATGGTCACTATTTAAAAAATAAGAAAGAAACATGGGGTTTCTTCTCAACAGTCAGGATCCAATTGAGATGATGATTCAGCCTTTTCCCAAGTTGTTAGTACTATATTGACTGCCTCCTCTCTCCCACCACATCTCTACCCTCCCTCCCTCTTTCCCTCAATACCACTCCCTCTGCAATAATTGTGCTTTAGAAAGCTCTGAAAGGCTTGCTCTGTTTCTGACCATGGCCTCCTTTGAAAAAGAGATTACAGTGATTAAAAATAACAAGTTGAGGATCCTCAAGGGGCTTCCCTTATAGGAGGACAATTTGCAGGACCAGTCATTCCCAGATCACAATTTCAAGCCAAATAGAAGAAAATCAGTGAAATGTTCAAGAATTGATTGAAAATAAGAGACTCTTTTGTCTGTCCAAAGGTCTGTTTATTAGGAAAATAAAGCCAGACCCTGGCTAATGAGAGTGGCTTTTCCTAGATGCTCTTTAAAGGGAAATTTCAAGGAACTTGATGGGGAAAGAATGTCCAGGCGAGATTTCAAAAGCTTGTCCAACTTCAAGCATAATTAAGGGATTTATTCTAAACCGGGAGGTTTGGAGACCTCCAAAGCTGCTTTGCCTTCTCTTTCTTTTTCTCTCTCTGGGGCACACACTGCCATAAGAATGTGTGTCCCAGGGTGTCCCATCTCCACCTGGTAGAAAGAACACAGGCTTTGATGTTGGCTGGGTCTGTTTCCACTCTGGCTCAGTCACACATTCACTGTGTGACTATAGGCAGGCCACTTTACCTTTCTGAGCCACAGTTTCTCCACCTGTAAAATGAGACAGCTTCTCCCACTGTGCTAGTGTAGCTATGAGAATTAGAGCTGTGAGAATTAGAAATAATCCATGTCAAAAGAAACTGTCATACAGTAGGATATATTTTATTTATGTATACATGCACACATATACATACATACATATATATAATGTTATGAGAGCATTATTTATTTTGGAAATAGAAAAATACTTGGCAGCTAACACTGGATAAGACATTTTGTTAAGTGCTTCCAACTCATCTTGCATATTCTTTACAGTACTTTGGGGCAATTTACTATTTTTATTTTACAGATGAGGACAGTAAGCCTCAATAATCAGTGGAGTAAGGATATAAACTAAGGCATGTCTAACTGCTAAATCTGTACTCATAACTAGTTTTCTATACTGACTCAATAAAATGAATTAATGGAATGAATTCACCCTGCTACCCTCAGTCTTCTGGGTGGTGTGTCTTTGTTGAAGGAAAACAGCAACAACAAATCAAGATAATAACTGACATATCTTGGGACACTAAGTCTGAAGTGATGGGTCCTTATTTACATTTGCTTTTTTTCTTCTTGTAGATTTCAGTATTGCATTTGCCCATAAACCAAAGGATTAATTTAGAAACATGAAGAACCTTGCCAGACGTTGGCCAATTCCTTTTGTTTGTGGGGAAACAGAAACAAATTGGAAAGAGAGAAACCTTAATTTGACTCTTGTTTTATTTTTACATGCAGATATTATACTACCATGTCAGTAAAATTATACGTTTGAAAAGTATATACATAGAATATGAAAAACTTAAGCTGGATGAGGTCTTTTAAATAAAATTTTTATGTAGTGGTATTTTAGAATTAAGCACTGCTGATGATATTGTAATTATTTATAAGTGACCCTCTTGTTTGCTCTTTTCTTTTTATTATATAACTTTAATTTTTAACTTTTGCTCTCTTTTTTTAAGTAGTTCAAATCAATAAAAATTTAAAAGATGTATACATATATAAATGCTTAATAGTTGTGGGGCTTGTTCCTTTGAGTCTGATGAAACACAAAAGTCAGAGCATACAAAAAATGAAAGCATATAAATTGAAATTTTTCAAGGTGTAAAACTTGAGAACTTATCTATACAAGTTAAGTGTCCCTCTCCAGCTGGCTGACTGAACTGGAACAAGAGATTATAATTGTTAAAATGTTTACAAACATGCTATTTGCTTATTATACATAGAATGACAGGTGTAGATCAATACCAATTTCTGTAGAGGAAAAAACTTTAGCCATCTTGTATTAATCAGGATACAGGCTAAGCTCATTACCAAAAGGCCAGAAAATACAATGTTTTAAATGAGAGGTAAATGGGAAGTCCAAGATGATGGGCAGCTTGCTGCACATGGC